AGGTAAAAGCTGACAAAATACGTGAATCCGGTGGTAGGGATAAACGAATGGTTGCCGAGCTATGGCGGGCTCTGGGCATCGACCCCGACAATACCCCCGATCACCTAACCCTGGGTGAGATTGGGTTGGAGTCCATGTTTGCCGTAGAGTTACAGCAGGAGATGGAAAGGGAGTGGAATATGAAAGTGAGTGTCAATCACGTGAAAAGTATTACTATAGGAATGCTAAAGGAATACCAGTCCGGAAATCTGGTTAACATCCGCAAACACATGGATGAAATAAAACGTGCCCGGGCTAATTTGTTGAAACAAAAGTTCATTATGCCCACTGAGCCTATTGTAAAACTCAACGCAGTCACTACTGGACGGCCTGTATATCTGATGCCAACCCTTTCGATTAATTTTATAATGTTTGAAGAGTTGGCACAAAAGTTAAACCGACCGGTGATTGGCCTAAACTGGACCCGTGAAGTGTGCCAACTGTTCACTCTTAAAGAGGTTGGCCATCATTATTTCAATCTACTGAAACACATTGAACCAAAAGGGAAGTACGATGTGGTGGGCTATTTGGACACTGCCCTCATTTGCGGTAAATTACTGGTGAAGGGAATGGCAGATAAGGTGGTTATCGTTGATCTGATAAGTGATGTTCGCTATTGCGATGAGGAGTTAACGGATGATATGGTGATGGAGTTTATGTTAACTATAATGTCCGCCCAAATGCCAAATGCTTTTAAAGATAAAATTTTACGCAATTTTAAAAAAGAGGCCGATATTAAAGGTAAAGTCAAATTCATTGTCAATGAGATCGTGGACTTCGCCGGCAAAGGACTGGTGGCCACAGATATGGAGGAAATGTTTTACATAATGATAGCCCGGATTCGTATGCTATCGGAGTATAGACTCAATAAACGCAAGAAGTTTTCAAATCNACAGATATGGAGGAAATGTTTTACATAATGATAGCCCGGATTCGTATGCTATCGGAGTATAGACTCAATAAACGCAAGAAGGTTTCAAATCGACTGAAACTCGCGATCGCAAAGAAATGGACGAAAAAGACCGGGAAATTGGTTTTGATTAAACCGGTTAACTTGGAAGTGGTCAACGATCTGGATGCTCTAATGGAAGAAACACGTGACATTTATTTCCTACCCGAACCTCAGGTATTTATATTTTAAAAATAATACGTGCGAGACATTAATTATTTTATATCTAAATAAATTGCTTAATTCACTAAAGGATGAGCTGGCTAAGGTACAAATGGAAAATGTGGACACTCAGAGCACCTTACAATCGCTGGCAACTGAGGTTACAGATATGAGACATTAATTATTTTATATCTAAATAAATTGCTTAATTCACTAAAGGATGAGCTGGCTAAGGTACAAATGGAAAGTGTGGACACTCAGAGCACCTTACAATCTCTGGCAACTGAGGTTACAGATAAAATTATGACCGTGTTAAATTAAATTTTACATTATTATATTGGTGATTGTACATTTTTAATAAGGTACAAATGGAAAATGTGGACACTCAGAGCACCTTACAATCGCTGGCAACTGAGGTTACAGATAAAATTATGACCGTGTTAAATTAAATTTTACATTATTATATTGGTGATTGTACATTTTTAAAACTATCTTATTATTTTCTATTTGTATTCAATTTTTATTAGCATTTAATTTTACATTCAGTACAATTAATATATATAATTAAAATGTTTAAATAATCCAAATAAAGTATAAATATTCTATTGGTTTATATTATTTATATTTAATACATTTAAAACCCAAATATGTCTTCAACACATGTACACAGAGTCTGGACTCAAGTCATTCATCTGCATCCATGTCCACATATTTATCAAGATATAGTGAATGGTACTCTTGAGGGGCACCACATCGGCATAACCTTTCATTAGTGTCCATATCTTGAGCATCAGATAAACAATCCGTAGCGTCAGTACACCAGACATGTATGGGTTAAGTCTTAGACACCACTCCAAACATGGGCTCCACTCCGGCTCCAGTTTATTATTTAGCATTTTATTGCCACTAAAACTTATAATTTATTGTATTTTATGTCAATGTGATTTTTACATTAGTAAAATAAATATAAAATACTAAAATATTAAAAGTTAATAATTATAAAATGAATTATTTAATAAGAAATGGTGAGATTTATAAAAATTTGTGTTGTAATACAAAATTCTAAAACAAGGTATCATATAAAGCATACAAATTCTAACTATTATACACCTAATCTAATATTAACCCAAACTAACAAGAAAGCTAAAAAAATGTGAAATCACCATGGTCACCACTCAATACTCGTGGTACTCAATGGCGGCGCACTCGTGGACCTGGGGTCCAGTCCTAGCCTTACGGGCGGCCACCATCTCGGGGCTGACACGTTTGCGATGGTGTGCCCAACCAATGGTGGCCAACATGTCCAACACGAGGGTCGTGCCGTTCACATTCCAGCCCCACTCGCTGGCTCTGTAGTCCCAGGGAAAGGCGTGATGGTAGTTATGCCAGCCCTCACCTACATTTTATACGCACTTAATGATTAACCCTTTCATATAAATTATTTACAAAGTCTATACGAACCTAAAGCGAGTACCGAGGTCAATAGGTGCTCCCGGGGCTCAATACTGACATCATAGGGCTGGCTACCGAACTTATGCGCGGCTGAATTAATGCACCAAGTACCATTCAACGCCGCCGCCCACCTTAGCATACCGCACACAAAGTAGGCGTTCCACACGCTCTCGCTCCAAAAGTACCAGGGCACCATCGTGGGCATAATAAAGCACCCGACAATCACCATGGGCATAAGGTTCCTGTACTGGAACGCCACCAGGGGGTCGGCCAACAGGTCAGTCGTGTCAATTTTGCGACCCTCACTGACAACATCCGGGTGCTTTTGGCACATAAGCCAACCGCAGTGCGCGAAAAAGAAACCGCGCCGTGAGTTATGGGGGTCGGCGTCGGTGTCGGTGTGTTTGTGGTGCACCCGGTGATCCCGGGCCCACTCGTACACCGAGTTCTGGTAGCATATGGTGTTGCATAGGATGAGGATTATCCGTAACGGGAGGGCAGCCCTGTATGACCGGTGCGACCACAGCCGGTGCACACCCGCCGTCATACCAAATATGCTGATGTTATACAGAAATATTGCTGTGTTTGAGGGGGTGTAGGTTATCAATAGGGTTGTCAAGGTCAAATTTAGTATTAAATATAAAATAGTTTTATTCATTTATTTTGGATGTGCAATATCTGTACAAATATCATATTTTCATAGAGTGCTACAGTACTACTATAAAGTATATAATTTGTAGACAATTAAATGAAATACTATATTTTATTAAATTTCATTTAAATAGATTTTGTAGTATTAATAACAATATTAAAATTGATTTGTATAATTATCTAAATAATCATAAATTATTTTTAATTAAATATTGTATTGTATACTACGATATTACAAAATACTAAAAATGCAACATTAAAATAAAATAGCAAACTGATCAAGTACAGTATTAATACTTACAGAATATAATTGTATAATAGGAGACGTCCGTAAAGCATAGGTAGAGTCCATAGAGGGCAGCCATATGAATCATAATGAACCTGGTAATATTAGACCAGTACAAGTGCTCCATACAGTTCCACTCCATTTATTAAACTTGTGTATTATCCAAAATCTATTAATATACTGTTTATTATTATACTGTTTTTATTATTACGATAAGTCAAACTAAATCGATAATAATTTAATTATAATGTTTGCTAAAAATGTGAAAACATTAATATTTATAGCAATGTTAATACAGTATTAATAATACTACATTATATAAATATGATATATAATATACTATAGTACTATAGTATATTATATATTGCATTGTATAAATACGATATTAAATAGTTTGTAAATTGATATAATTGTATGTAAAATAATTTAAACCAGGGCAGGGTTTATTCATTTAATCATAAACATTTAGTTAAGTATTTATATTTCATTTAAATGCATTATAAAATAATACAATGTAAATTTGTAAATTTAAATGCAAAATATGAAATAATTCTATAATCATTTCATATGAAGGTAATGTTAATTCTTAAATGCTACCTGGTTTCACAATTGTTTTAACGTATTATATAAATAATATAAGTACAGGTATTATATAATTTGGTTGAAAATATTTATATACTAAGCGCAAAAGTTTTGCGTCAAAACTATAAATTGAAATTAGAGTATAGAATTGTAATATAATATTTATAATAAACCTTTTAAAATAAGCATATGGAGCTATATTTAAAATAAATGTAATGAATTTTTGTTAATATTATAACTTAATAATGTGAGGCAATACAATATTAATATCACTTTTATGAATTCTTGTTTAAAAACTTGACAGCAAACTCAGCTTGCAACAATATATAACGTACACCACATCATAATTATTTCCACTTATATGTAGATTAGTTACTACTAAAGGGTTAAACTTATTCATAGAAAATATATACATTATTGATGACTTTAGTTAAATTAGGATTAAACTACTAAGATGATTTTTATTTTTAATGAAAATTTTACCAGAAATGCGGAATCTTATGATCCCATCTAAATTGAAAATTATTATGTTGTGACCTCTGATATTGATGTCATTTATGAGTCAAATGTAAGATCAAAAAACACTTACCGAGGTTGTACTGTATTTATCAAAAATCTAATATTTTCTTTTAATGTGCAAAATCAAAAATGTTTTCAGGTGTTTCGACGATTTAAAAAATATGGTCTAGATTAGTTTATTTTTTAAATCAAATGATTTAAGAACCGTGAAAAAATATTTTTTGACGCATGGCTATAAAAAGAAAATTTTAAATAAAAACTGTAAATATTTAATCTGTTTTCAGCACTTCAATGGAATTATTTTTATTTTAACTTATTTGAATAAAATCTCGCATGGACAAAAATCTTAATCAAAAAATACAAAATATTAAATGAATAAAATTACAGCTTTTATTCATTTAAAATAAAAATAATTTCATTGAAGTGTTGCAAACAGAAGTATTCATATTATATAGCTTCATGTATAAATACTTTCTAATATGAATAATTAGTTATTTATAATTCATACTTATACTAAATAATTATATTTATACTAAAATTGTTAATTTAGTAATTAAACAGTATGTGGAAATAACTTTGTTTTATACTAATATTATATTAGTAATATAATTTATAATTAAATGTTGATAACACAATTAGGTATTGAAAAATATTAATTGCAATAACACTTGTGTTAAATAACAGATGTTAAAAATTACTATAATTGCTTCAATGTAACAATAATCTTTAGATAATAATAATTTATGATACCGTTTTAAAGTAAAGTCATAATTGTCAATTCACATGACTAGCGTAAATAATTCAAACTATTAAAGTGCTTTAGTGTTACCATGGACAATTATAATTTATAAATACAAATTCTAGAAAGAGTGAGAGTGTGTGTGAGTGAGTGAGTGTGCGAGAGAGGGAGAGAGAGAGAGAGAGAGAGATTAAATACTGTATTAGTAAAAATTAAATATTATATTGCATAATATTAATTCCTTTAATAAATTAATTAAATATTTATCAGAAAATTGTCAAATGATAAAATTTTAATAAGTTAATTGATTAATGTTTCTATGATTTTCCACAACATATGAAAAAAAATATATAATATAAACTAAAATATAAAATATTTAAATATTTAATTTTAAATAATACTATACATAATAAATAAAATATTCATTGGAACTCTTATTTCTATTAAATTATTTGCCAATTAATCAAATTTTATTTATTTTTAAACTTATAAATTATTTATGGTAAATCAATTTTATTTTTAAATTTTAAGCAATTCTAATTATTATTTCAGAATTTAATTAAAATTATAAAAATTGGTTTATTATTAAATTGAATAAATTATGGTATCATAATTAACATATTAAAAATTAATTCATCTACAATTAAAAAATTATTATATTATATAAAATGGGTTTTAATAAATATTGTTAGGAGACAATCATTTAATATTAAAACATAGAAATAAAAATTAATTTTTAAAATATGCATAAACTGTGAATTTAAAGATTTATTTTTCTATGATTTTTAATTAAACTATTGTCTCTTATTTGTTAAAACTTAATTCAATATTACGTTATTCAGTAACTCATTGCACTTGAATACAGTATTAAATTTTAGTAAATAGGCATTCCCTTATTATAATTACTGACTCTGAAAAAATTACAAATATAAGTTAGAAATAAAAACATTTGAAACTAGTATGTAAACTTTGATTTAATGTTAATGTGCCTGATAACAGTAGAGGTCATAGAAATTTAATAATTTCTTATGTATTTATTTGATATCTAAAAATTGAATTAAACTATTCAAGTAATTATATCATATTAAACTACAAACAACGTTTTATCAAGAGGTTTTTAGCTGTATAAAATTAACATTAGTCTTGAATATTTGACAACACTATGTTTGCTCATAAATTAAATAAAATTTCCAAGGTTAATCTATTATTAAAGCAGTAATTAAAATACTAAACACTGGTTATCATATTTTGTCTATAACTTATGATATATTTTTATAAATATTTATTTTTGTAATAAAATAGATAATATTAATCAATAAAAATTATTATACCGGTAGTAACATAAAATCCACTTATAAGTTATATAAACTACTTGGAAATCCTTGATAGCATTATTATTATTATTAAAAAAATATTGATTTAAACTAACATTTCTGGTTCAACATATCGGATGATTCCTGACTAATATAGGCTTATCTTTCGCTTCTTGCAAGCATTTTTGTTTACAACTAAATATTAATATCTT